CCGATCTTGAAGTTAGCCTTCAACCAGGAAAAGACCCGTATAACTGGAGTTTTCAATAATTATACAGATCTGATGGTCAACATGGTGAACGGAAGGATTAATAAATACTAAATTGTACAAAAACAGATGACTCTAGCTTTGAGGTAGTCAGATTTTTGCATAGTAGTACAAACATTTCCCTTATTAATAAATTTCTATATCTGTTCGATTATTTTGCTTTCGAATATCAATGATCGAACAGATATAGAAATTTATTAATAAGGGAAATGTTTGTACTACTATGCAAAAATCTGACTACCTCAAAGCTAGAGTCATCTGTTTTTGTACAATTTAGTATTTATTAATCCTTCCGTTCACCATGTTGACTATCAGATCTGTATAATTATTGAAAACTCCAGTTATACGGGTCTTTTCCTGGTTGAAGGCTAACTTCATGTACTTCAATAAGCCGTTCCTTCACGTCGCTTCCTACTTGATTATGAACGGAAACTGGCGCTTTGAGGTAAAGCGCGTCGAATACGGTGTAAGTCCGCAGCCGCATTGCTTCTGTGAGCCATTTGCGCCCTACTGAATAATCGCTATTGTCTATGAACGCGGCCTAAGGTCGAATATATACCCTAAGAACACTGAAGCAGCTTCAACGCCTGGAACAGCTGACCGGAATAGGCGTAGATCCCATGCCTTGGTGCTGCTATGCTCGCTCTTTAAATCTACCTTCCAAGACGGTTTAATGAGCTACCATGGCAGCACGAAGGCATAGGATCTCCAACCATGCCGATCCATTATTGCGGGCGTTGAAGCTGTTGCAATGTTCTGGTGGCTAGTCTTAGGCGGCTTATTTTAACTGATTGTTGGATCGCCACTTCGCTGAAAATCCTTGCCTGCATTCAAAGTTGATTGGAAAAAGACAGTGCAATTTTGTAATTTAAGCTCCCGCAATTTCAAATTACATTACTACGACCCAAGATATCCAACAGTAAACTAGCTGTAGATTATGCTGAACAAGTGAAATAACTGCAATATTTATACATGTACCAATACAACCGTTTCGAAGGATATCTAATATTATGACTTAGGAACACACCACTAAGTAGACAGTATTCACAAATATCGTTCCGATGAAGTGTCGACCCATCACCTGCAACAAAAGCGGAAATGCAACGAACTTTGAACACCAGATTAACACAAATCACAAAAAGCACTACAATGTAGAGAAGTGATGCAACACAATTAGTTTTCGCAACAAGTACACACTCTATTTGATCCTTATGTAAAAGGAATAGTTAGTGAGGAACAATGTGAAGTAAAATCATTTCTGATCGTGCGATGGTTTGCCCAGTTTCGACATCTGTTGCATGCGGCTGCTCAGTTACATCGGACGGTTTCTGCTTTTGCAAGGAATGAATTGAAACCTGAACTGTAGAGTTTCAGCTGAATTTTCTTGAGATTCTGCGATTCACAGAGAATAGAAATGAGTCTAACGCCTGATATTAAGAACTGAAAAAAGAGCAGAACAGGGCTACAAAGCGCAAACTAGCTAGCATTCATAGCTAGTTGACTTGGCGCAACAATTTGTCATCAAATCAGTCAGGTCATGGCAGCCTAAATTCTATACTGTAATCTTATATTAACGATTATATAGAAAATTGACACTTGAATTGCTTTTGTCTACTAATGCAATAAAAAAATCACTGTAAGCATCACTCTTTCAGGAGCTGCGCGCCTCTTTAGCACCAGTCTGCAATTTAGCGTCAGCACTACTGTGGCCTGCAATTTCTGAGAGAAGGAGCACTCGATGATGTAGCTCACAGGGCACATCGTTTGGGGAATCCCCAGCAGGGGGGGGTCGTATTTGGCGCCAGGAGGGGAGGGTCTTTTAGGCTGAGAAAAATTTATTTTGATAGTTGATTTTTCTCGCTTCACGGCTTCACGGACGTTGTAGAAGGGGGGGTCGTGATCACCGTCTGCACTTGCTGGCCTTTCTGGTATTGCGTAGGCTGGACGTTTCGTGATTTCTTCTTTTCATCGGTGTACTTCACCCCCCCCCCCGCTCTACGGCTCGTTCCTGAGATGGACCAGTGGGCCAGATGTGGGGAGGGGTCGTACGGGCTCGACTGCAAATCCCAACCCAACATCGGGTGTGCCGTTGGGTAACTCACCGACCAGAGACTCATCTCTCAATTAGATTTTTCAGATCAGATTAGCCCGTTTTGTCAAATAGTATACCGACCACAGATTACCGTGACACCATAGATTCACCGCCAAGTACCCTTGATCGATATCAACTAGGCTATCACGCCTCGAACCTGAGCTGCATTCCAGAAAAATTGACAAACCTGATCATACGCTGGTGGAGGTACACCGGATGGCTCGCTACGTTCCCCAACCAATTCTAATGGAACCTTCTTCACAAGGAAGCAGGACTGGACAGAATGGATGCGACCGTACGACCAGCTCCGTCATTCTGAACAAGCTTTTTCTTAGTTCAAGAGTATATTGGTGCTAGAGTTTCTCACCAACTTATGAGCTCTCACAGACTATTTTGCTACATTTCAAAAATACTACACAATTTTTCTACAAGAAACATACGGAAATTCTTCTGTAGGCAGCTGAACGCATAACACGGAAGAAGATGACAGAAGCGTCTATAGAGTTACGCAATGCTCCAACTTCCAAATGACTATCTCATCCAATAAAGACTGACCGCGGTGATAGAAGAATTGGATAGACGAACCCT